ATCTTCGAAAGTATTTAATTTTGTAAGAAAATAAAAAATACGTGTCTAATGTTTTAAATTAATCTACCGGACAGACATTGAAATAAAATTTAGGCCACTACCCTTTTTTACTGTCCATTTATCGAGGAATAGGCTATAAAACATCGCGCTACGGTCATTAGGAGCCGAGGAGCGGGAGAAGCCAGTTCAGGGCGCTTACTTGAAACCAATCTTAATGTCAATGCAATTTCAATCCAATAATATCTCAATAATTATTCAATGTCAACACTATACAACCACAATCGTAGCTGTTACAATAGCATTCAGAGTACGGAATATAAAGACAAACTCAATACCATTTAGTTCATTCAATATCCACGCAATACGGGTGCAATGGGCGCTAGTGTTGCAACTCAAGAGTACGACACAATACCAATGTCGATCGATCGGAATTGGATTCAAGAGTAAGTCCTCCAAATATCTGTAGGACTATACCAACCTTGCTCTTTACTTCCGGTTTGACCGTCTTCTTTAAATCTACTTTGGATTTGGAATCCTTCTTGTCTTTGGGTCGTTTGTCCTGTGTCTTGTCTATGGATTCCGTTGCGCTCACTTCTGGCGTTTCCTTCTGTGGCTGTTGTGTTTCTGTGGGGATAGAGTAATAATTTTAATAAATTATGTGAGGACATTTTAAGATATTAATTCACCACCACTACCACTCTTCCCGCGGGTGTTGTATACCCGACTGAGGGACTACACATTAGAGAGAGACCGTGCAGCAGCGCTCTCTGATAAACCTGCGGCAGAGATTATGGCAAACTCTCTTATGTAGAGGAGACTCATAGTGCAGCAGTGGACTGCCGGTAAACGAACAGACGGATCACCTGATGGTAAGCAATCAGCGTCGCCCATGGACACTCAGAACACTAGAGGCGTTGGAAATGCGTTACTAGCCTTTTGGGGATTAAGATAACATAACATCACGCCTTTTATCCTCGAAGGGGTAGGCAGAGGTGCACATTATTCCACTGTACAATGTAACACCCACTTTTCACTATTTATGTTTTGAGTCCCATGTAATAGGGGGTGAGCCTATTGCCATATACCGAACACAAATCGAAACTCCGTGCTACTACAGAGAATTTTTAAAAAACCCAGTAACACTTTGCCCGCTCCAGGAATCGAACCCGAGACCCATTGCCCGGCAGTCGCACTTGCGACCACTCGGCCAACGATAAGTAATTAGGATGGGGATTAGGGATTTGAGGATTATTGGGGATTCAGGGAGTGGGGGAGAGGGGGAGGGTAATGGCGTCTCCGGTAACCTCACTCACACGACTGCACTCACCGCTGTGGTAGTTTCGGTTTTCTGGTCGTTGGAAGTACCACTCCGATCGAGCCTACACTGCAATGCCGAAGTATGGCGAGCCCACTCTTAAATTTTTCCGCCATTTAGTCAGTTATTACCAAATTAAGTAATTAATGTTTACATCTGTACTCACCCTCTGTGTTATCGTGTGTGACATCGTCTGCAGTGGTGTGTGTGTGTGTGACTGGACACTCGTCTGTGGGGACGCTGGGGGACTCCGCCTGTACGGGGGCGCTGGGGGGGACTTCTTGGGAGGGGACTTGTTTTTCTTCTGTAACAGAAAAGATAACGAAATTAGTATTTCACGCCTTAAAATACGAAATTCATTATTATTTTTTCGGCTAACTCGAAATAAAATAGAGGTTAATTTTGGCCGCGTCGCATGTCGCTGAATGCTGGTCATGTTTATGAGCCTCTAGCATGGCTTGAAACTAGTCGAGTTCCTCGTCAAACAGATACGTGAGTAAGACGAAAACATAATAACCATTCAAAGTTCTTAGAAAAGAAGTTGAGTGTTGGGTGAGACGAGAGGGAGTGTCAGACTCTTACTGACTAAAAACCACCCCGTTCCTACTCCTGCACGTCGAGCCGGAGCCCCGGTAACCCGTTAACTTTTCCGGGGCTCCGTATCGGCATCAGCCCTACTGGGTCTCATCCGTGGTGGTCTGGTCTCCTTGTGTCGCGGCCCGCTCGGCGCCGTACGCTCGGGTCTGGTTCTGGTCGGGCGGCGAGCCACCCATGCACATACGGTGGCCGGAGATCGTCTCGCGATCACCGACACTAGGAGTGTCTCCCGCGACGGCCGGGGCGTGAGGAGCCATTCGAAGAATCGATTTTTTACCCAAAAAATCGATTCTTCGATTAATCGATCTCAGATCGCCATCCCTAGTTGTAGTCTCTTTTTTGTGCTTTTAGGCTTAATTCATTCTGTCTCCTGCAGTAATTCACAGAGGGAAGTGGAAACCATAGCTTTTTCATCTTCTCTTCTTATAACATCTTCTGATTCACTTCGTTGCGGGAACTAAGACAGTTGTTCATGTCCCTGGGACGTTGGGCTTCAGTGTTCCGGTGTTTTCTTGGTTGTATCTACTGTAGATCCTGGTGCACAGGAGTTGCAGCGGTTTTGGGAGGTTGTGGCGGACTTGTGTCAAAAAAAAAGTATAATATTACCTGTAGCGGTGGGCAGTGGTCTCGTGGGCACAAACTCAGCGGCGAGAGGGTTCAACGTCGACCGAGATACTGTCTCTTCTAGCGAGAGGGACGGCGCGCCGTTACTTGTTCTGGAATCATAATAAAAATTATATACCTTTGATACTTAAAAAGTGGTTTAACTTTTAAGCAGAAGCTTCGTGAGCTTCTCCTGACGAGGTTGGCTGCTTCATCACACTGACTATACCTTTTATATTTTATGTAGGTATATATGTATGTATATATATATATATGAATATTATAGTTATATAGTTATGTATTCTTCAATATATATTAAGTTATGTTGTAGTATAGATATATTGTGTATATTGTCGAATTATGTGTTCTTTCAAATAGTTAAATTCAATGCATGTTTTTGCACCCGCTGATTACTTTCTCTGCATCACCCAAGGGTCAGACTGGTAGAAAATGCTGCGGCATTAAGTCCACCCATGTGCTTGTTTGTGTGCATAAAGCTTTGTAAATAAATAAATAAAAAATATCTTTGATACTTGAAAATGTGGGCCTCGACCGGAGTGATACCACCAACGAGCAGAACACCGACTTATACAAGAATTATTAACGCGTGTTACGGCTCGTACACAAAACTGCGATGCGATGCGAATTCGCAACGCAGAAAATTACGATGCGAATTGGGTAGTTTCCTGAGTCAAAAATTAATTATTTTAAATTTTCATTCCAATTAAATAATGAAAATTAAATACTTAATTAACGATTTATTCTAGCATTGTTTTTAGATATAAGTGTGCTTACTATTTGACGCGAAAATATCATGACATGATAAGAAGGAATTTCGTACAAAATTCATAGAACTGTATCGTTTTTGATGTTTCGATAACA